CAGCCGTGAAAACTCTACAGATTTTCCCTAACATTGTTTCATTACATTTATCGATATTGTACAAATTGATGAGAAAAGGGGTTTGATAATGAACTTGAAAATTGAGTACTTTTTACTTGTATTTAACCTTTTTGCTACTAAGCTCTTTGCTAAATATTTTATTGATTAATTGATTAATTTATTAAAAATTGATTAATTGAGAAGATATCTGAGGAAGCAACCGAGGCTTTGCCATAAAAGACAATTTTTTTGGAATTTTGTACTTTCCTTGACGCCAATCACTAGACCTTTTTATTCTCTATAAAAAATTATTAAGGTACGTGGATCGAAAATTAATTAGTTCAACAAATATTTTAAGAAACACGGACACAGCTTGCAGATCTTTCCCTAATCAATTTTTGTCCCAAGTGCCCTAATATTTTTTGTAAGTAATAAAAAGGCATTTCGATTGACAAAATTTCATTTTCAAAAATTTTATTAGAATTTTGTATAATTATCATTTTATGAAATTTTATTGGAATTTTGTACTTTGTTATACATCAATCGAAGCGTCTTTTTATTCCCTACGAAAAAGTATTTAGATACTTGGATCGAAAATTCATTAGTTCAAAAGATATCTTAGGGAGAAATAAGAAAAACCTAGAGGTCTCTACCTAAGATATTTTCTAACTTAAGTACCCGAGTACCTTTATATTTTTCTGTCAGAAATAAGTGAATTTATTTTAAAAAGTGAAGATGACTTTAAAATCTTTGTCTGACACATATATCAGGTAATGCTCCATCTGACACCATTTCATTTTGTCTAATGAAATTTTTCTCTATCTTCTACAATTTTTAAAATAAAAGCTGGCCCATTGCATGAAACACACGTCATTTATTGAGAAAGGGTTGAAAATTCATAGCCAAATTCTCCAGATCGTACATCTTATAATATACTTCAGCTTCGTCGCTTCAACCGTTGAATCATTTTGCTCGTAGGACAGAAATCAAATGAAATTGGTCTTTAAATCGTTCTAATATCGCAAATAGAATCGAAGTCAATCGTTTTGGACGCTCTGTCTGCAGTAAAATAGAAATGGGTCCTGTCGCGAAGTACGCTGTAACTTCGGATCGATCCGTTTACCGCCTCCCTTCGCGTTTCACCACATTCTTTTAAAATTTATTTCGTTTCGATTACGATCCATGGGACCTACGATTCCACGAAACTACCTTCTAACAATGGGACACGGGTATACTCTTGGAAAATAAAAATTTAGGTTTCCGATACGTTAGACCGAGGTTCTGAACAGTGAGAAAATGAAAAATAAAGATTTATAGTACTGTTTTATTTTTCAAAGCTATGAATTATAAAATTGGTTACATATCCTGCTTAATAATAATTCATTCGCCTTTATAATATAGTTTATAATTCAATTATTTGTGAGTTAATTATGTTTATACAAGTTTATTTTAATTTAATTATATTTATTGATTATTGATTAAATATTAGATATACAAATTAATTTAGTCTCCTTAATATCACATGTTCCTAATTATTATTTTAAATTTAAATATTTTTTCACCTCTTCCTATTTTGAAGCTGAAATTACTATGATTTGTTAAATATAAATCTTCTATTAAGATAAAATGTAAAACCTAACACATATAAAGTGTAAATTATTTCATAATTCAAATATATTATATTTACAGGTCAATTTGAATTGTTCATTTTTATGTTAAAATTATTTGAGCTGAAAGGAAAAAGGTCAGGATTGTCCCACTTCAATTTTAACCATACTTTATGATACGTTCCATTATTGCAGTATAAAAACACAGATATCGTTTTATGTATAAGCAATATACCTATTTTTATCGCTGAGGTTATCTGATAAAAACTGTTCCTTCCATTATGAATGGTGTCACAAATAACCTCTACCTTTATAATCTTCATATTAAGTTGCTGCATACCAAACGACTAATTCTGGAACAATATAAAAAGTCTGACGCGTATTAATAACGCAAAGATATTGCTAAATATGTGGCACTTGGGTTACATTAATTCGAAGCTTAAAATTTGATAAAAATGAATTTTTTAATTTTGGAATTTCCGAATTATGGGATTTTGAAATTTTAGAATTTTAGAATCTTGGGAATTTGGAATTTGAGGATCTTGAAATTTCACGATTCCACAGTTCTACAATTCTACAATTCTACAATTCCGCAATTCCGCAACTCCACAGCACCACAATTCGGCAATTCCCAAATTCCAAAGTTCTAAGATTTTAAGATCCTAAAATTCCAAATTCCCAATATTCTAAAATTCTAACATTTCGAAATCCCATGATTCGGAAATTCCAAAATTAAAAAATTCATTTTTATCAAATTTTAAGCTTTAACTACCTTAAAACCTTGGAATTTTGGAATTGTAAAATTTTCGAATACTAAGGGGACCAATCCACGTTTTTGAAAGACCAGGTCCACTCTAGTCTCCGTGCTAATGCAAACAACCTTAGAGAGTTAAAATATTCACTCTGAAAGGATTAAATTCCCCCGATTTGCGTGTTCAAAGATTAACATGGAAGATTCACGATTTTATTTGTAGACTTCAGAAAGCAAACGATGCTCAGTTTCGTCGCGGCAGTAAACGTTAAGCATCGATTACGGTAATTGGCGGGTCGCGTTCGTTGCGGCTATCATGCAAACAGCAACCGCAGCCGCATAAGCGAGCAAATTCATAGCTGTATATACGTTAAATAATCCGTTTAACGATCGACACGGCTCGGCTAGGGTTTATACACGATATAAAATGATCTTGGTTTTATTAAACTGCAACCGCGACACTGGTTGACCGGTTATGTTTTTTTTTCCTGTTTGATTCTCGAACGTCACTTATTTTCGGTCTTAATTATTCGACGTTGGTAATAGCTTTCAAATAAAAACGAACACCTCGTTGTCAGTCGAATATTCTGATGCATCCTCAGCCACGAGGAATTAACAGTTAACTTTGTAGAAACAAAAAAGGTCTTTAAGACGCACGATGGGGAAACGGAGATGAATGACGACGGGTATGGATGAGGATGAAAGTAAAAAAGATGTTGAAGAGCTATTAGTGATGTATTTGAAATGCTCTGAAAATTGTATAGTTTTGAATATTGATTGAAAGTAAAATTAAGTCCACAAAATATTTAGATAGTCACTTTGTTTTAACTTTAAGCTTTATATTGGTATACTGCAAGTGCTATTTAATGATAATTTTAAGTCATGGAATTATGTCATTTTTGAAGGGATAATGAGGTGTATGTCATGTGACAAATGAAAATTTATTCTAATTTGTTGGATTTTTTATTTTTCTTTAAATTTTGCTTTAAATTTTAGAAAAACTTAGGGAGAACCAAACCTAGAACCTTCTGCTTTAGCAAATAAGAAATATAAACAAATAAAGCGAGTAATGAAACATTTTTTCCTTACGGTTTTCCTCAATTTAAAAAAGCCTATATTGTACAAGACAGAACATACATTGTTCAGAGAGTAAAGAACCTCCAAACTGCATTGTACTGTCATCTACTGACATTATCGATGCATTTCTGTTTCCCTAATAGGCATGTCTGTGACTACAGATCCTACAAAACTGGATATGCCTTTGTTTCCGGGTAGTGTTGAATTTGTGCTGTAGCGTTGTGGTTCAATTCCACTCGCTCACTGTTTTACCCGTGGAGAAAAAGATCTTACACCGTATAAGTTTCAATGTTTTATTGAATAGACTCTTATATCGGATGCGGGGTGAGTCATTACAATAACATAGAGAAGTTTCACCCATTAAATTAGTGTTATTAATTAATGAAAACGTGGCTATTGCGGAAAAATTGCGCGGATTGCATCCAGCAATTCTTGATAAAGTACGCGACAGTTATACGAATGCGGGCTATATCGACGGTCGGTAATACCAACGGCCGGTAATGTCAATGACCGGCGGTGGGTGGTGTCGGCGGTGGATAATACCGACCGTAGATAATGCCGACTGTGGGTGATACCGGCGGTGGATAATATCGACGGTAAATAATACTGACGGTGGGTAATACCGACAAGTGAAATCATCGACGCACTTCAGCACAAGACGGTTTAGGTTTCATGTGTGCCAACCTAAGTTGTTTTGGAAATGCCTTGATTTTGTGTGTCGACAACGAGTGCCATCTACTCTATCCTAACCTATTTCTGGTAGCGGTGAAGTCACTGCAATTATTTATATATTTTAAATTGTAAACAAAAAAAACCAGGAAAACATATTGTACCTTGTGAAGTATGTTCTATTATATACCGTATAAGTTATCACAAATCTAAATGTTGTTAACAGTTTTAAGGATATCACAAGTTATTGTGATGTATTTAACCTTCAATTTGAGTAATTCAGATTATTATTAAGAACTGATTTTATTTATACGTCTACTTATCATTCATGTTTGTTGAATAATTTCACTGATTATACAAAAACATTTTTACAGGAACAATGAATGTATCTTCATTATTTAGAACAGCATGTCAAAATGTAGGTTTAATTATACCCAGAATATCATCTGTGGAACCAGTAAGAAATATCCTGAGTCGTAAAATGCATCATATGTGTAATAAATCATACTTCTATGATTTGTCAAATACTTATACAAATAAAATTGGTCCAGTTGGATTACTTCAGCCTTTTTTACCAATGTATAACTTAACATGTGGTTTAAAAATGAAAACAGTGTTACATCGACGTTGTAGGCATTGTATTTTAATGTGGAGGAATGGCAGAAAATATATAAAATGTAAAGCAATGGGCAGGCACAATCAAGTGGAAAAGAAGCCAAAAATTTATCAGATATGGAAAGTAACACATGCTACCCATGGGAAGCCTCGTGAATGGTAGAATATATGTTATAAGTGTAACTTACAGTATGCATTAAAATAAAATTATTAATACATAAACTGGTACCTATTTCATCTTATACAGCTTATGTACAAATAAAATAGTATAATTTACACAGTTTTTATTACACATTTTATTCAATTACAAAAAAATGGTATTTAAGGTGTTTACGCAGACACAATACATTTTACATTGTCTGATAAGTTTAACATCTGTACACACTAGATGCTGAAAAATAAAAAGTGGTTACAATGTTAGGGTGCATTTTATTTGTATCATTGTTCTAAAATTTGTATCTTACTATAAGGAGGACAGGTAACGCTGCAAACATTGCGTAATGTTGTATATGGCTGGTATTTATTGTGCCAATATGTGTAACTTCGAGGAGAAAAAGGAGTATAAGGAGGACTATAAGGTGTAAAAGGATGTATTGCATAATGAACCTGTTATTACAGAGAGAGAATAATTAGTAGTATCTGAATAATTCATCATATGAATTATGATTTTCGGCGTTTGGAAACATACAGTACAAGAATTATCAGGTGGTCCCTGTAAAATTTCTGCAGGAATTACATTGCAAGAAGGTGGACACTGTTGACATGAACCATTTGCTTGGATGCTAAGTTAACAGATACAATGGATCATTGTACTAAATGGTATATAATACTGAAAGAAATCGGAAAATTATTGTCAAAATTACTTACGACATAGTGGATTTATTTTATGTTTACTGATTTATGGACTAGAATTTTATTTCGTAAATGAGAAGAAAAATTTGAAGATCAACTCGTCATTTATTTCGCACTTCAATTTAATTTACCATGAAAACTATAATTTATTTGTTTATTTTTAAAGCTTCATAAAAACGGACAGGTCATTATAATTACAATTAGTTATTATTATTATACATTTTGGTCAATTACTATACTTTGGTAGGGGAAAGGTAAAGGATACCATGTTCGAATCGTTTACATTAATTTCGTCCCATTTGATTTTCATTTGACTTTGTGAAATTTCTTTCCACAGATCTTCTTGTACAGGAGATATTCTACCTGACCAAGCCTACAAACATTTATAATTTAAAAAGTTGTCAATTCTATCGAAATTTGTTGAGAAACCTTTTCACAATGCATTGCCCAGGTGTATATCATTTTGTTCTCCATTTTCTGGCACACCTTTTTCAATCGTTTCAACATCTTTAACGCTGTATTTTTTCGGAACTGTATCATATAATAGTATCCTTTCAGTAACATGTATCTACAATGATTCCAAATTGATTTTCATTAGTATTGCAATACCTCAGGATCTAATGGTATCATTAAGTACCTGGGAATCATGATTCGGACGATCTTGACCGTTTTCTTCAATTCTTTCAGCATATGTTCTATCTGTCTCATAGTGATGGTGGCATCAACATTTCTGCTATTTATTTTGTGAACTATTCAGAGGAAAATATGTGAGAAACAGCATCTTCTTAACTCTAAAAAATCTACTGGTAATAATGATATACCATAGAGAACAAGTAGACCTTCAAGTTTTTTGCAAGAAGTCATTGTTGCTGCTACTATATGTTCATCCATAATGGGTGCACTTTCTACACTTCTTCCACTCCATACTTTAGCAGCCTCCCATTGTTCAGTCCTGACACACCTTTGTAAATAAATGATACATTTATCTGTATAAAATCCTTAACGCCAATCTTTGCACCCTGTTAATTAAATACACATACCACAGCCACATAGAAGTGAAGTACCGTCTTTCCGCTTCCGGATCGTGAAAGCTAATCATTTGTTCACCCTCTCGAAGAAAATATTGTTCGCAGCTATCAAAGGAGAGAACCGTCAATCCGGTGTCTAAATGAACGTCGGCGCAAAGTGCGTAGTACCAAGTAAGTCCAGACTTGTCCAGGTCATTACGAGATACAAATTCTACAATTTTATTAAAATTTCACTGTGTTAATATTCAGAATCTAGTTTCTTCTTATTCATTACCCAATTCACGCAATTGGGTGATCACTTCCGAGTGACGACAAGAGATCATGAGAAGATGAGCCAATCGGGGAAGGATCAACAGTTTCAGGAATGTGGATCCTATGGTACTGGCCATTCTGCTGCAGATGAAGCCGATCTGAGTGGCTTTTGATATTTGTCCTCTCACCCAACGTGAGAAGAATATTCCTGCGTAAAGTTCAGCGACCAGGTTCAACTCTTGCGCTTCGAGGGCGTCTCTGCATTCGTTGCAAATGTTGATGCTTTTCTGTTCCAAATATGGGATCACAGTCCTATGGAATCGGTTCTTAATTGTTACCATTTTAAATTCTTAGAAAAACGTTCGATGTGATATTCTTACCTATCTTGGTACATGTGCGCTGTAATTAGCATGTTGGTGTAAGACGCGCAGAGGATAAATAGATCCTTGTTGGAAGTGAGGGCCGCATTCAAGCCCCAAATCGCCGCTAAACGAGCGTGTCTTTTCATGCCTTTGATCTTGTGTAAGGAGGGTTAATAGAAAACCTTGAATTTAGAATTGCTTTTCATAAATATCAATAGTAGATTTATTACCCTGAAGAGGTCAAACATCTGCGTTAAACACTCAGCCAATTGTTCAGTATAGTCGTAGCTGTCTGTCACATAATTGTTGTCCAGCGTCCAATCCTTCGTACAGGTAAGATTCATTTTAAGTTGTATCAATTGCACGGTTGAACTTAGATCGATCATTATCTCGAGCCTGGGAAACTTATATCCCAAATTTTCTAAGGCCATTTCGAGGATATGTTCCGCCTCGAATATGGAACCGCTTTCGAGGAAACATCGACCCTGAAGGGTCTGAATCTTGGAAGTGAGATAAGGTAGCAAAACCATTTCATCATCTTTCGATTTAAATAGCTATCCAATGATAATAGTTTAAGATAATTTTCTAAGATTTATTAAGATCTGGTTTCTTTAACATACCTCGCCGAGAACAGTTTCACCTTCTGATAGAAGTCTTCTTGCTTGAGGTATGTTACTATAGAGTAAACAAATTTCAACAAACTCCAGTATTGCTACCAGTGTCATTTCAATATTTCCTGAAAGATTGAATAATTTCATAATGATCTCTAGAATGAATTAATATATTCCTGTTCTTAGTTTACCAATTCCACGACAGTGCTCCAGTATTTGAGTGTAAACAGTCATTAGGATCAAATGACAATGACAATCAGCAAAGTCCGCGTCTGAAAATGTCGCTGTAGGCTTCTTTTCCATGCCTCTAAATATGTCCAAGCAGGCGAGAAATGCTTTCTCTTCTGTTATACAATATCTATTAATATGTTATAATAATCCAGGAGTTGTTACTGTCTTACTTTTTCGTTCATCGCCAGCGACAACTATCTCGTCGAATGTCACAGTACCAAAAATATCATCTATGTTGGTCGTCCTCTTCCTCCTTTCTTCCTTCTTCGATACTTTCCCTAATAGTTTCGCAAATTGTCCTTCGCCACAGGACACGCAACGTCTCGTATACTGTTGCAGATATTTCAATGCTTGATTGTGTAGTTCCATTTTCTGATTTTCCGTGAGTAATCTTCACACACGAGATTGTTAATTAATACAAATTTACCATTTGTAAAATTGATAATTACCAATACTAACCGATAAGTCGTATCACGAAACATAGTCATTTTGAACCTCATCAATCCACAAGAGGCGTATCTTGGCAAATCTTCCAGTGCCTCTAAAAATAATTGAAATTCTTTGTAATTTATCTACAGATATTTATAAGTTACTTTTAATTAAACTCCGGTTAATACCTGGAATGTGAAGGCCAATGCAGTTGCAGAAAACGTCTATCTCTGAAGTAGGATTTCGTATGTTCCTGATGAAGATTATCGGTCCTGTGTTCCTAGAGAAGTCTCCGATTGCGCATCCAAACACTCGTATTTCGAACAGCTTCAAAACAGCTTGCAAAATAAGGTAAATGTAATTTGATACATTGCCTTCTTAAGAATTAGTTCCTATTTTCCATTAACGAAGATAAGGCCTCACCAAGTCCAATTTCTCTTTTAGAAGTGATGGTCATAAGATGTTCCAGCATGTGTCTATTCACAGTTTCCCCGATCACAGAAGCACATTTCAAGAGAAGTTGATCGAGAGGAGTCAAGGAATCGAACAGCTTCAAAATCATCACTGTCACAGTCGAATTCATTAGTATTCATAGTAATTTTCTATGCTGATTTTTATATTAATTTTTTACCATCCATGGTAATCTCTGGATTAACATCTTCGTAAGTGAAATTCTCTGAAAGATTGCAAACCGCGATCATTCCCTCTTCACTTTCCAGATTCGCGGCAGATTTATGAATACCGTTAGTATCTTGTTCCAATAAAGAAAGCACACTGTCCTAAAGAAATAATATAACGACGTCTATAAGTATAAATCTTGAATAATAATTTGTTTATTTAAATAACAAACTTTGAAGCTCGTTCTGTACATTTGCCATCTGTCGTTTCGATCTTCTCTAACATCGTGGCTCAATTTCGACATAAATCTAATTCGAAATTTCATAAATTATTTGCTCTTTCGAATATACGTACTTATACAGGGTGTTCGACAACAGGTGGGAGATTTTTTAAGGGCTGATTCTAGGGATCAAAATAAGACGAAAATCAAGAATGACGAAATAGCGTTTTCGTCATTCGAGTAAAAAGCGCCTGAAACCTACAACCCGCCCAGCACCGACGACTGAATGTCAACAGGGGTGGATACAGTCATAACCAAGAAGAGAAAGCCGAATGCTACAGTACTGTACCGAGGAACAGAATAGCACGAGGTAAGTTTCTATTCATAGACATAGTAAGTATAGACCGAGCATCCATTGTATAAGCGGTGATGCATACGATGAGAGAGAGAAAAGATGTAAGAGGAGTTTCTCTCTCTTTTCAATACCGGAGAAGTGGGAAGAGCCTGCGCGATATGGCTTAAATGCGCAGACGATGCGACGCTAATGTAGTATGATAGGGGAAATGACGAACCGGCGTAAGGAGATGAGGAGAAGTGCTCTCCACTTCTCCGGCATTGAAAAAAGAGAGAAACTCCTCTTACATCTTTTCTCTCTCTCATCGTATGCATCACCGCTTATACAATGGATGCTCAGTCTATACTTACTATGTCTATGTTTCTATTACTCAATGATTCTTGGTTATGACTGTACCTACCCCTGCTGACCTGACGTTCAGTCGTCGGTGCTGCACAGGTTGCAGGTTTTAGGCTCTTTTTACTGGAATTTTTAAACGTTAATTACTGGAAAACAAAGTTGCAAACGCTATTTCGTCATTCTTGATTTTCGCTTTATTTTGATCCCTAGAATCACTCCTTAAAAAATCTCCCACCTGTTGTCGAACACCCTCTATACAATATGTATACCTTTTCAACATTGTTACAGGAGGTAACACGTAACCCTTCATATTTGCTTCCTTTTTACTAATATTTATTATTTCTAGTCCTCCTACTTGCAGTAGACTCACCAAGTAGCTTTCTATCCAGCCTGGATTTCCAAAACTTCTTTCTTGTATGAGTCTTGGAAAAGAAATCGTTGAAATCTATAATTATTCTACAGAAATTTTCTTTTAATTAATTTACTTTTCTAACTCTGCTGGTATACCGCTCACATTGAGGATCTGGCAGGCTAGACCAGCATGGTACCATCTGTCTATTCCAGGCAGATTAATGACCTTTTTCAAACGGAAATACGTGTTTGCAAGTTATCAATTACAATTGGATACTGCAAAGCATCAATGAAGTACCTTTGCTCTGCTTAAAATATTAGGACACATCTTATATTCCGTGCTGAGTTTCATCCCTACGCTTAGTATGAATAACACCTTGTCCTTTTTCGTTAGAACATCGAAAACTTGTAAGGACTCGTTATCGCTATACTCCGCATCGTCGACGATGATGATCCAAAGGTCGTCGAAGCAGCCTTTCAATAGCTTCAACAGGAATTTTCGGAGAACTTTTTGCCTTTGAGGCTCCGAAAGAATATTGTATCGATGACTGATCGAAAAACGCACGTTGAACGGTTGATTCAGAATGCAGAGGTAATGAGGACGTTTCACTTTTCCTAGTCGAAGAAGTAACTTATCTTCTCGCTCTTTTCGAGTTGATGTCACCGTGAAACCGAGTGGCACTGAGAATATTAGGTGTACCAGACTGAACGGGGCCTGCACTAATTGATAACATTGAGAATTAATTAATTTAGGATAAAGAATCATTATTAATTCTCTAATAAATTCTTTACAGAAATTGAGAAGTATAAAGTGTCAACCTTGGCGTCTTCCGTGTGCAGAGAGATATAGTTGCAGCGAACTCCCAATGGAATATTTTGGGTGAATTCGTCGAGCATTCTTGTCTTACCTATTCGTGGTTCGCCTCTGGAAATAAACGTGAATCATCGATTTTGAGAAAGAATTATAGTCAAATGCAGGGCAGGCCCTGAGATTTCGGGAGTCTGAGGCGAGCTCCGAAAAGGGGCCCCTTCACATACAGGGTGTTCGACAACAGGTGGGCAAAATTTCAAGGGGCGATTCTAGGGATCAAAATAGGACGAAAATCAAGAATGACGAAATAGCGTTTGCGGCTTTGTTTTCCAGTAATTGAAGTTTAAGAATTCGAGTAAAAAGCACCTGAAACCTGCAATCCGCCCAGCACCGACGACTGAACGTCAGGTCAGCAGGGGAAGGTACAGTCATAACCGAAGAATCGAAGCCAAATGTTGCAGTACCGAGAAACAGAATAACACGAGGTAAGTTTCTACTATTCAACGATTCTTGGTTATGACTGTACCTTCCCCTGCAGACCTGACGTTAACTCGTCGGTGCTGGACGGATTGCAGATTTCAGGCGCTTTTTACTCGAATTTTTAAACGTTAATTACTGGAAAACAAAGCTGCAAACGCTATTTCGTTATTCTTGATTTTCGTCTTATTTTGATCCCTAGAATCACCCCTTAAAATTTTGCCTACCTGTTGTCGAACACCCTGTATATGACATATAAGAAGTACCTCAAATAAAATTTATAAAATTAACATTAGAGCTTGTATAACTAATTTAGATTCGGATTTACATCGATTAATGTTCAAGTAAACATTACTCTTCTTGCATTCTTAGACACAAAATCGTCTTATGGGGGTCGTGGACCTTGGGGGGCCCTAGGCGGCCGCCTAGTCTGCCCTGTCCCAGGGCCGACTCTGGTCAAATGAATATTTACTTTATAATCAGGGTGTTGTATTCTGGCCTGGTAGTGTCTGCATTCTTTTCTAGAGCAGAGTATTCCAATAGTTTCATCAGCAGAGCCCTGAACAATTTAATTTCTGTTTCTCGACCTAGCAATGGGTACTTGTTCCACACTAAATCCGACACAGTGTATCTACGTAAAATTTCGAAAAATAATACATCAATTTAAAACTAAAGGAAATAATTTTTAATGTTACTTTGGCTGCTCTTGAAACTCGTATATAGGACCGACGTTCGTGATTCCCTTCAAGTATCTTGGTTCTTGCAGAATGAAGTGCCTCGCTTCCAGGTGAGAATGGAGGAAACTTTCTCGATCGCAAACCACCTGAAAGTACATCGCTTTATCATTTTTTATATCCAAGGGATAAAAACGTATTCGTGTTACCTTGTCACGATATGCCACCATAAGTCTTGCAGCCTTGTTCACCGACATTCCAATAACAGTGTATTCTCTTCGCAGGATGTGACCCACGACCCCACAGTACGTCATCCCGGTGGTAACGCCAACAGTGACTGATTTAACATTATCGAGTTCCACGAGGTTGCTTCGTAACTTTGACGCACATCTGAGACCAATCTGAGACTCCAGCTCGTGTTTGTCGCCTCTCAAACCGAAGACGCAGAGGAACATTAGATCCTTGTCGAAGAGGGACGTCTTGTTCACGCATCCGTGCATTTCACCGACGATTCTGCTCAAAACATGTTATTCTTCAAGGATCTTCTCGCGTTTGAATTAGAATTACAAATAGAACCATACTGGCCGACTAGTTTGTAGGTGGCATTAACCAATGCAATCAGAGCTCTCTTGCTTATGTTCGAGGTGATTACGTTGATGAAGAGAATCACTACTTGTCTCATTTCGGTCAAATATTCTAACGGCTCGTCCATTTCCACGGACCTAACAACCGGCCTTAGCATATAGCTTCTTAGAGCGTCTTTCAAACGAGCCTTTGCTATTTTCACAACTTTTGGTCGTACTTAACAAATAAATCGTAATCTTAAAATTTTAATCTTCATTTTACTAGAATTCGTCTTACTTACAACTGTAATCGACCTGCTTGAAAATTTGACTATTGTACTTGTTTCCAGCTAACATTATATCGGACAATGGATCAATTGTTGTTCTGGACATCAATAAGGAGTCGTGTGTATCTCTGTATATTTCAGTGTCTTCATCTGCAAATGAGTCAATTATACAGGGTGTTCGACAACAGGTGGACAAAATTTTGAGGGGTGATTCTAGGGATCAAAATAAGACGAAAATCAAGAATAACGAAATAGCGTTTGCAGCTTTGTTTTCCAGTAATTAACGTTTAAAAATTCGAGTAAAAAGCACCTGAAACCTTCAACCCACCCAGCACCGACGACTGAACGTCAAGTCAGCAGGGGTCGGTACAGTCATAACCAAGAATCGAAGCCGAATACTGCAGTACCAAGAAACAGAATAGCACGAGGTAAGTTTCTCCTATTCAACGATTCTTGATTATGGCTGTACCTTCCCCTGCTGACCTGACGTTCAGTCGTCGGTGCTGGACGGGTTGCAGGTTTCAGGCGGTTTTAACACGAATTTTTAAACGTTAATTACTGGAAAATAAAGCCGCAAATGCTATTTCGTTATTCTTGATTTTCGTCTTATTTTGATCCCTAGAACCACCCTTTAAAATTTTGCCCACCTGTTGTCGAACAACCTGTATAAGGTGTCCCAGAACGCGCGTAACACCCGGAAATGAGGGTTTGCTGAGATGATTTTGAACAACTTTTTCCTTTACCAAAATGTTGGTTGGAGCTTCGTTTTTAAGTTATTAACGAAAAACCCTGGCCAATCCCGTGGTTCAGCGCGCGCTCTACGCGCGCTCTGATTGGCCACTGTTTTTCGTTAATAACTCAAAAACGAAGCTTCAACCAACATTTTGGTAAAGGAAAAAATTGTTCAGAATCACCCCAGCAAACCCCCATTTCCGGGTGTTACGCTACTTCTGGGACCCTGTATAATTAACACCGAGAGACAGAAACATGCTTTTTACCTTCGGTGCTGCCGATTGGTATTTCCTCGTCTCTTGGATGGTACCACATGCTTGTACATGCTACAATAAGGGTGTGTATACCGTCAGGAAGTTTCTCGTGAACGTATTCGTTTGGATTTACCCATTGCCAGCTGCTAGGAGCCACTAGGATATCACCACCTCTGGTACGAAATTGATAGTATTAATTTTTCAAAATTTATGGAATATTAATTGAATCGTATTTAATTACCTGCAGAGACCTTCAGCGAATTTTACATCCCACACCGGTTGTCCTGTGATAATATAATGAGATCTGGAATCTGGATCACCAATGGACGTGAAGTACGTCTTTCCAGAAGCGATGGCTAATTTTACTATTGAAACAATATGCATGAGAAGTCTCCAAGTTCTACTTATTTTTAATTGTAAAATACGAACCCCTAAGGGTGACTCCAACATCCGTATCGTAAGTTCCAAAGTGTTTCTGAATGATACACGCGGTTTGCATCGCTTCGATCGCTAAATCCCTCATCATCATCCCTTCGTGGAGTTTCCACATCACTATGAAAGCATCTCCAGAAAATTTTAACACGTCTCCGTTGTGCGAAAGTATCTCCTGTACCATCGCACCGATGTAACTGTTCAAAGTCTCCGTTAATTTCGATGGACCACCCCTTCCGGTTTTCGTGTATTTCTCAGCGAGATCAGTAAAGCCTTGGTACGAACGCGAATTATTTTAATAAATTCGATTGCCATTTAATTTTACACGTAGTATTATTTTTACCTGATACATCACCAAGCATTAAAGTGGTATAGTACATCCTGGTATGATAATCGTCATAATGATCCAGAATCTCATCTGGACACATCGAAGCAAATATTTTCGTGTGGTATTCCAGTCTTAATTGCGCTACTTTTGATTTAGTTTCCATTTCCACGTAATGTTTAATACCTCGATAACCAATCATGATCAAATTGAAATATTGATAAATTATGTGTTCAAACAGAAATTTCACACAGAGGGTTGAATTACCTTCATTCTTCATTCTTTTGCGCTTATTTCTCCAAGCTTGTCTAGCCGCACTGTTCACGTGTCCAAGCATATTTTTCGTCTTTAATTCTATTTAAATTACTTCCATTAATTTAATCCACGGTGTGAAATCAATTTATTATCACACAGCAAACTTCATTCCAATATATTTTTGATTGCTGACATTTCATTTGTAGAGTTCAGGATGAATGTGTGCGTTAAATATTCTTTTCCCTTCAAAGCATAAATATGTACAGGGTGTTCGACATAAGGTGGGAGATTTTTTAAGGGGTGATTCTAGGGATCAAAATAAGACGAAAATCAAGAATAACGAAATAGCGTTTGCGGCTTTGTTTTCCAGTAATTAACGTTTAAAAATTCGCGTAAAAAGCGCCTGAAACCTGCAACCTGCCCAACACCGACGACTGAACGTCAGGTCGGCAGGGGTCGGTATAGTCATAACAAAGAAGAGAAAGCCGAATGCTGCACTACCGAGAAACAGAATACATAGCACGAGGTAAGTTTCTACCAGGGTTGGGAAGTAACTCGTTATTTTTAACGAAGTTACAGTTACAGTTACTTATTTTCGGTAACTCTAATTTAACTTCGTTCTTTTTTTTCGTCTGCAACTAGTAACTATTTTAATAGTTAGTTTAAAAGTTACTTTATATATATTTCGATCTTCATAATAAAACGAAAAATGTCCCTATTTAGAAGATTTATTAGGAATCCGTTCTGCTGAGAATTCCCCAATTCTTGAACAAAATCTCGACGACCACGATGACTTTTTTGCTTTTAACAAGCAAACCAAAGAAATTGAGTCCGTACAAGACAAATTGTATCGGTTCTTAAAATCGAGTAATTGCAATCTCAGTATGTTAAACGATTACAGTGCAATCAAGAAACATTTTATAAAATATATCACGGCACTTTCGAGTATATAGTGCATCTGTTGAACGATAGCGTCGGTGGTTCCGTCATAACGCCACAAAGAGGACACCTCCTTGATGACATAATTGAATACCAATACTGTTAAAATGCAATAAAAACTTTTATTAAAATTTTGAGTAAAATATTGGGTATTATTGAGTATTATGCGTAACTTTATAGAATTATAATTGTAGCAAGAAAATAAATTTATCAGTGGTCCGGGGTCCTTTGACATATTTTTATCTTTTATTTATATTCCAAAAAAGTAACTCGTTACTTTTCTTCAATAACTATAATTGTAACAAGTTACTTTTTAGAATTGGTAACTTGTAACTGTAAGTAGATACTTTTATAAAGTAACTTTCCCAACCCTGAGTTTCTACTACTCAATAATTGGTTATGACTGTACCTACCCCTGTTGGCCTGACATTCAGTCGTCGGTGCTGGGCAGGTCGCAGGTTTTAGGCGCTTTTTACTCGAATTTTTAAACGTTAATTACTGAAAAACAAAGCCGCAAACGCTATTACATCATTCTTGATTTTCGTCTTATTTTAATCCCTGGAATCACCCCTTAAAAAATCTCCCACCTGTTGTCGAACACCCTGTATACAAGGATGAAGAAATAAAGGATTAGCTCCATTCTTTTCCGCAATTATGTTTTATTTAAACCCAACTGTAGTTCTAGTAATGTGAATGATGGAGAAAAACTTGAGGGGAAAACATTTCTTCTCTTTTTTTTTCTTTTTTTTAGCGTTCAACAATGAATACACTTCTCGTGACAATAGACAATATGTGTTTATTTAATAGTCTCGCTATATAGATACTTATATGACTTGTCGCTCTAACAGATCGCTGCCTACAACGTGACGGCCGAATTTTATTGTGCCTGGCCCTACTTAGTTCCTTATTGTGCTTGAATCTATGATGGGTCGACGTCATCTTTGGTTTACAATAATTAAATCTGTCCATTCTTTTTTTTTTCCTTCCCTTTTACACCGTCATCTAACAATTCGATTATACTCGCTAGTTTCTTCTTCTTGTTCTTTTTTTTCGCAAGAAATTCCGTTCTCGCACGGATCTTTTGTATTTTAAAGAAGATAAACGTATTCTCTCTTGCTCGTGTTCTCTTATGCTCAACACATATGTTCAGTAACGTGATCGATGAACACATTAGTCTTACGTTGTGTGTTTGTGTACGTGTATACGTGTGTGGTTTTCATTCGGACAAAAAACTTGTAACGTTTAACCATCCTTTACGATACGTGTACATAAAACATTTACATCCTGCGGAATGGTTTCCTCCCTTAACTCGCAACCGCACACCGCTCGATGAAAGAATGAAAAATTAATATGTACAGATGTTTATTTGAACGGTGGTCAAGAGCTTTCCCGTTCGATGAATTTAGCGAAATTTCTTGAAACACACGTGTGTGTAGTTGCAAGTTAAAGCCTAGCCCGTACCTATGTACAAATATTTAGGAAACATACGTTTGCTCGTATACGAATTATGCAAAGAAGATCGATATTTGTCTGAAAACGATGGACGAATTAAATAAATAAAAATAATACTAACATCGCCGAGATCACAGCCGATCGTGTTCTGAATAATTGTGATTTTAAGCGTATGTTTTAATAAATATCTGCAAATAGTTTTATTCGTTTGCGAGCAAAGGTGTGTAGATTTGGGCCAGGTTGAATTTCCTAAACGATACAAGAATTACAAAAGAATTCATCAACGCTGCAACGACTACAAAATTCGATTCACCTTAAGGTGTTGGTGAATATTAATTCGATTGAACGTCGTTTACATCGATACTCGAAACGTGCATGCGATTAATTCGTACATCGACGGCGGACAAAAAAAAAATAATATCTCTATATTTTCTTTTTTTTGTTGTTTTTGTTTTTCTCACGTATTCCCTGGAATGCAGGAACGAATCCACGCCAATAAAAATTGCACACACGTTTTGTACGCCCGGATTTTTTCGGATACATTCCCCTCGTTCGCGACGAAATTTCGGAAACATCGTACACGTGCTCGCACGCGTTAACACATATGTATATGTAATATGTATACATTTAATCGTTATATTTATAATACGGTGCTTCGATTTCTGCTATAATGTACATGCTGGTTCGTGCGAGCAAGTGTACGCGAATCCCATCAGATTCGATGATAATCAAATTTTAAATACCGATCGTAATACATAAGGGAAACATTTTTGCTTTCGTACTTAGTATTGTGGTGACAAATACTAAGTACTAAGCCCAACCATAATAAATTTTAATGAGAATTGTAAGAAATTTTAAGGATCGAAGTGGTAGAGAAGTAATTATTATTCCGATATTTTTCAACTTGAAACGAATTGTATAAATTGATTGATTAATTAGTAATTTAGAATAAAACCTTCTAATTATTGTGTGTTTCGTTCGCAAAACGATGGCAAAGGGCGTGTAACCAAGAAGTACAGTCAGACGGGAACGCGCACAAGAGATTTTTCCTTCCACATATGTTTCACATTTTTTTTTTGTTCTTTTAAGTTTTTACGACAAACGTGACTCGTGTTATATAATGGCACACAGCATGGCAGTTGCAACAATGTACTTCAATAAACTGTTTACTTTTTTTTTTCTTTTCATTAATAACTTAATTTATCTTATCATTAAACTTAACGCTAGCCTCGTCGTTTCTCTCCTATCCCTCGACGATTTTTCCGATCGAAGATCCTTCGATAAAAAAAGGAATAAAAAAAGATTAAAATAAATGAGACATCTTGAAAGAATCTTTCGATCCGCGTTAATCGTCAATCATTCGATTAATTAAGCGTCGTAAAGACTAGGCTTAACGCAATTAATTCGCTTCGTTCGCATTCGTATCTTTCTATTTCTTTCTTTCTTGCTTACTTCCGCTTTCATTTTTCATCCTCACTCTTTCTCTTGATCGCACAAACACGCAATTTATTTTCTCAAATAGGTATGTACACGCGATCGAAAATCGTATTGTGGATTAATTTAATTAACAAGTCGAACGTTACAAATTAAACTGGTGCCATTCAACGTGTTAATTACTAATAATCTTCGCTGTTTCAATCATCAATTATCCTCATCATTCTTTTTCTGCCTTTCTGTCGTTTCTATCCGTTGCTTTGCTTAACGTTTAAACACGTAGAAATTGGAGAATAAAAAAAGGGGGCTGGGAGAAGCCACCGTGGTGGTCGCGGCATCGTTTCCGGTATGGATTCACGGTGAAAATTCATCTTTCTCGCAATTAATAAGCCAATCGAGCGATTTTAAAAAATTAGAAATAGCGTAAAAAAATTTTCTTGCATTCTTCTTTTTAAATTGGCCGTGATTCCAATTTCAATGAACTTGACGCCACGACGCAAGGGCTTTCCTTACGCATTATTCACATAAAAACGTTCTGTCTTTTTTTTTTTTCATCATTTTCTTTTTTCTTTTATCATCGTAGATATACTAAACAGTCGAGTCGAAAAATAATATCGAGACGGCCTCGTTCACACGATACTCGCTTTTTCTCGTTTCGCATTTTCACTCGTGTTCCACGAACAGTCTCGGCTTAAGATCACTCGAGTGACAGACCGAATGAATAAATTTTCAAGAAAAAAAAAAAGAAAAAAAGGAATGATATTCGGTCGTTCTTCTAATAGGACAGAGTATTTGTAAATGGAACGTTCTTACGTTCGAAGCATTTTGGTATTTCTTTTTTTTCCTCTTTTCTTTCAAGCGTTTGTTCGAGTTTTTATATTTGATAAGACAGTCTTAAAATTGAAGATAGACGAAGCGATTACATTACTACGACTACAACCTGTTTATTCTCTAAGTAAAGACGATACGATGATTAAGATGAGAGTAATTGCTTTTAATTAGATAGTGAAAGAGTGCCAATAAGAATATTCGAAAAAATGTTCAACAATTGTTCTCGATTCTCGAGCGATCGAAAGAAAGACTTCATTTTTCTTCTTTGTTTCTTTTTCTTTTTTTTTTTTTTTTTTTTTTTTTTTCTTTAAATTCATTGATACACACCCACACGAAATGCAATCACTCCACGTTAACAATTGTGTCAATTAACGATAATATTAATTTTTTTTCTGCTTAGTTATGTATATATATATATAATATATGTATATAATGTAACATGGTGATATAGGCTTGATATGACGGTGGCACACGTTTATTAACCGTTTCTTTACCTTTTCTTTTAATTTCTATTTCCCTCTTTCAATCTCTTCCTCGACACAAGGATTATCAAAAAGAAGAGTACATTTTTTCATATTATTTTGAACGATTTTATATAAAAACTAGCTAACAAAGATAAATGAGAAGAAGATAAAAATAAATGATTATGTGTCTTTGA